GAAGAGAATAAAAATGGAAATTACTAAGCTTGTTTCAATTTATCGTGTGATTAGTTAATTTATTATTTACTGTGACAGGCCTATGTAAAGCAGAACATGGTTCATAATTAAGATGAGGTCTAATTATCAGGTGTTTGAAATAGCTCCTAATGGGACGGATCATTTATTGATTAAAATGAATAAATGGGAGATTTAACAGTAAACCATCTATATCCTTGCAATTTTATACAAGATTTTTATTTGTATTAATTATTTTTTATGCTATTCTTTATACTTCATAAATGTACAATTATTAAATGTAGTTTCTCTAATATCTGCTGCTTCATGACATTAACATCTTCCCTAGACCTTACAACAAAAAAATCTATAAAAATCAAACTAAAAGTAAATAAGCAGATGTAGGCAACAAAAATATAAACTGGTTCTTCCTTTGGCTTATCTGAACTCTATAACTATGTAATAAAGTGCTAATTAATTAGTGTTTGATAGCTTAAAAATATGTTTTCTGTACATGAAAACTGCTCCATTTGCAGAATGTCTTCTATAAGCTACATGTTTTGAAATCTCTGTAGTTGATTTTGGACTCATTGGTATCTGTTGTATTGTCTGTTGCTGTGTGAGGTCTGACTATGGAGCCCACAGAGGGCACAGCATGTTTTATTGTCCCTCACAATAATAAAGTGTTCACTATGCAGCACATGCGGCACTGTGAAAACTTATCCTGCTACAATATAATATCTTAAGATACAAATGTACAAAAACTAATGTGCTAAAACTCCAGAGGGAAACATGAACTTTCCATGTCTGCTCTAAAACAATAACATGAGAAAAAATTTCTGTAAGAAGGAAAGAAAGAAAAGAGAGACAGCCAAACTATTTGGAATATCTTGTATTATTTTCACAGGTTAATGGCTCCAACTGCTAACAGCTTTGGATGTTCAAACATGAACATCCAGTTAATAGATGTTTTTTTTTTTTTAACTATTTTTTCTCTGAAGAGTTTTTACGGCACTAGTGCCTTGTATTTTTGACAATAGGCAGACAGGAAAGACAGTGAGGAGAGGGGGAAGATATGCAGCAAAGGTCGCCGGGACCGGGAGTCGAACCCACAATGTCCGCGTCGAGGACTGAGGCCTCCAAACGGTGCTGTGGCCTCCTGCGCCATCACAGCATGCACCCATTTTAAATGTAATGTCTCCCTATAGATTCATTTGTTCTTATTATTTTTGTCACACTTAATGCCCCAACATACTCGGGTGTACTTCACTCCCTGGCGGTCCGTGAATGTTCGAGAAGGACTCGATACGTATTTGAAGCGGATGCCTGTCGGACATGTTTGAATGAAGATCAGTTTTCATGATGGCGTGTTCAGTACCTCACAGTAATCTGATCGACGGGAAACAAAGCTGACATTGACATCATGCGACACTGAGATGATAAGAGTCATGAGGATGTGCAGCATGACTGTGACTCTCTGTCCCACACAGAGTCTGTTAAAGTTTTCCTGATGGTGAAGAAACAGAGCTGGGCGTCCAATTGACTCATCAAACTTGCTAGTATTCATTAGGACAATAGGAAATAAAGAAATTTCTCACAAGAGTACTTTAGGCAATCATTTTGATCATCATCAAGATGTATTTTGGGAAATTGTGAAATGGCTTTTTATAAACTCTAGTTTTGGAGAAGTACGTCTTTGTTATTATCAAATCAAGTTCTCTTACTTTAATTGAGGCGAATGGGCCTCAATAGGCTTTAGATGTAACTTTGAGTTCTTTCATAAACTGCTGGATGCAGTTCTAGATGTTTGGTTTGTGTTGTGAACAGATGATATTCAAGTGATTTATTTACACCAGGCAATAATCAGGCCTCTGTGTGGTTTGTGAAACTAAGTCAAAAAACTTTGGCTAATCAAGTTAATTTTATGCTCTAATATGGGGATAACAGCGAGGAGAGTTGTAACTTTTTCTTTTAGTAAACATTGTTTCTTCAAGTTTTTACTTTTGCAGTTAAAGCCTCATACAAAACATCCTACACTCTTCTGCATGTCTGTTAAATTATAACAAAGTTTACAATTTCTTCCTAAGGATTACATTAGTGCTTTGTTTTTGTTATTAGCATTTTTATTGTCAGTGGCAGAAATCTGCTCCAGCTGAATGGGAAGTGTGTATTTTTTAAAACTTTGTTCTCATGTGACTTGGTGTTTTAGCTCAGATTCCAGTGTCATTACAAACCAGATGGTGGTTTTTGTTCAGCATTTCACCAAATAACTTTTTCTCTTCAAAGTTTTTTCTTGAAAGAAAAGATAGATGAAGAAAAAATCTGTATCACCTCATTCATTTTCTACTTTGACTGTTGTATGAGTTATAAAACATTTGTGAAGATTTGTAGTGATTGTTACCTTAAAGTCAGTTATTTTTAAAGTGTCATCTGGTTCAAAATGTTTCATCCGAAGATTCAAATTGTTCCATTAAAGCTCTGCTTGGTGCTCCGTTTGTGTGAATTCATGTTTTTGTTTTGTTTTTATAACAATGTATAAACTTTTGTTTTTTGTGTTTGAGATTAAACAATTTTTAAAAATGATAAAATTGTGTGTTTTATTATTATAATTTATTTTAACAAACGTTCCTGATCTGGTCATTTCTCTTCTGACTTAACACTTGATTCTTTGCAAAAACGAGCAAATCCAGCTAATTTTTGCAAATAATTTCTACCAGCAGGGGGCAGCACTGAGTTATCAGGGTTTTATTGAAATTAACTGGACTAAGCAAGGAATATAATCACAATTAATATAACTAAGGCATTATATAAAATCTTTAGAAATATCACATTGAATGATGGGACTTTCAGGCTTTCTGCTTTCAGATGAATTGTCAAAATTACTTAACAACTTAGAGATTTAAACTAAGATGCTCTAGTCAAATACATGAAAATGACACATATGTTTTCAGTCAATAAAATTACATCTGGTTAGAAAAATGCAGATATGAAATTAATAAAGAAAAATAAGTGAGCCAAATCCCTTCTGTTTGTTTATATTTGTATATACAAATCATGAATGTGGGCGATTATAGTGAATTTATTTATTAAGGTAACACATTTTTTGACTTGTCAGCTATACAAATCATGAAAGTTTCGCTTTTTAAATTTTACTTCCTTATTTTGAGATTAGTGCTCCTCTGGAAGATTGATGTGTTACCTTATAATTACAACAAAAATGTAAAGTGATATTGATCCCAGGAAGATTAATTTACTTGCTAATCTGTTACTCGTCTTGACATGTTTTACTCAGTTTGCACCAAATCTAAAGACAAATCTCTCCTAACACTGCCATTAAACCTGTTTCCTGGTTTATTTTTTAAATTAAAGGCTGTTTTCTCTTTGCTTGTGTGTCAGAGCATCATTGTTTGTGAACCTGGTTATTAATGGTTCAGTGGTTTCTGGGTGTGTCCTTTCTTTCTGCCTCGGATCCCAGCTGTCAACCCCATCCCATCAGGGTGGGGTCTCGGCCTTCATCCAGGATAATAACAAAGAAAAAAGTCCCGGAAAAGACAAAAAGAAGCAGGTGTGATCCAGACACAGGATAATGATCCAAACACCAGGTGTTCTGGTCTGTTTGAAAGGAATGAATGTAAAAAATGCTCTTATACTTTTGTTTGCATAAATAATGGCATAATGGAATCAGGTTTAAATGATTTTTGAAACTGTTAAAGATAAAGTTTATATTTTAAAACCTCAGCTGTAAAAAAAAAGGCTGCACTTTGCTTATATAACTTCTATTTTAACCACAGCAACAAATCTTGTGAACAAGTAACAGATTTTCTCCTGACTTCATAACAGCAACAGAAAGTATCACACCTTCAGTTTAACCCTGTAATTTAATATAAGACATATTTATAGCTCTCTGTTGGCTTTTACTTCTGCTTTAGTTGTAATCAATACGTAGTTGATCAGTAAATCATGTTGGGTTGCCAGTAGTTATAAATCAACTCTCATGTTTCAAACAGATAAAAATTAAGATTTTTTTTAATTAGTTAAAAAAATTAATGTCAGAAAGGAGGAAAAAAGAGGATTTTAAAAGCAATATCTGCATCAAATTCTAAAAAAAATTCATTTACAACATAATTAAGACAATGTAAACTGATGAATAGAGTTTACAGTTTATTTATTCTAATAATGAAATTAAAATAATCAATGAATAAATATTGATTTCTAAAATACTAAACTGAATAGAAAAATATATAAAGAGGGGAAAGAGCCTTTTTGAAATACTACTCCTGATAATAAAAATAAATAAATAATAAATATACCAAAATGATAAAGCTAAATAAATAAAAGACTTTAACTAAAGTATTAAATAAAGTAAACAAATCAATGTATATTTTTCCTTCCACTGGTATAATGCATTAATAACTAGAAAACTTATAATTTAGCCCAATTTAAATTATAATTGACTTAATATTCTTGACTTAGTATTCAGATAAATTAATTTATTAATTTAACTGAATACTTTATTATGGCTTTAACCAGTTTTCACCAGCAGAGGGCGCTATTATACCAAAATGCTGCTGTTCCACCTTCTTTTGTCTTGTGGTTAAACTTGTTTACACTAAGAATAGCTTTTTTTCATTTTTTAAAGAGGAACGAAAATAAAAAAAGTGAATATTATGTAACATGTATAAATAAATGAAGTAAACTTTAAGTTTATTAAACAAATGTAATAATATATATTGAACTGTTTACAGTGTAAAGTGGTTTTTACTCAATACCTCCATTTAAAGTGATTATTAATTAAGAGAAGAAGCAGACAAAGGAGAGAGAGGCGAGAGACGGTAGAGAGACAGACAATGGGAGAGAGAGAGAGAGAGAGACAGAGAGAGAGAGGGAGAGAGAGAGAGAGAGAGAGAGAGAGAGGGAGAGAGAGAGAGAGAGAAAGAGAGAGAGAGAGAAGGGGAGAAGGAGGAGGGACGTTTGTTCACGTTCCGCCGCGGAGAGGACGGGGAGGGCGGGGTGGATCCAGCCGGTGTCTCCTCTCTGCTGCAGCGGCCATGCTGCTGTCTGCCGCCTCGCTCCGCGCATCCCGCTCTTCCGCAGGTGAAAGCGGCCGCCGCTGCATCTCCTAGTCCCGGGTTGAGCCACAGGCTCGGCGCCGCTAGGCTCGGCCGCTGCGGTTCGCCCCAACTGGATCCGCCGGAACGGTCCGGAACGCGGCGGCGGTGAGAAGGGGGAGGAAGAGGAGAAAGGCTCCTTAGCAACAAACCGGTTTCACGGCATTATTGGTAGGTACCTCCCTCTGTCTGCCTGTCAGGGTCTGTCAGCAGCTTAGCAGCAGCAGCAGCGGCGGATTGATGGATAAAGTCAATGAGATGGAGAGAGAGAGACAAACTGTACTCAGGTTTTATAATCATCCCAACATTTTGTTCTTCATTTAAATGGATTTTCCCTACAGGATGTCCTCGCAAAACGTGGACAAACCAACCCATTTGACCTAAATGTTCTTTTTTTTTAAAAAACAAAAAGATTAAATATCATGTTGTGGTGATATTTAGCATCCTCCAGTGAAACCCAACATGATTGGGTGAATCTGTCTTGTTAGTTCAAACCATCTGATTGTCTTTTTTTTGTATGTCTTTTCAGGGATGGATGGGACACTGAGGATTGAACTTTGACCTGTGCCAAAAAACCCAAAATGTACTGGATCAGAGTGATAATGGTTTATTGATTAGGGTTTACAGCAGGACTGGTTTCGCTTGGTTTGTTCGAAAGCCAGACAGCAGAGGTTATGGTTGGGTCAGTGAGACTGCAGTGAATCAGCCTCAGGGATTGAATATAGGAGGTCTAAGATGATTGGCAAGTCTTCTTAGTGTTCATCCAGAACTCTGAGGTTCTTGATTGGCTAAATTCTTAGCTTGGCATTTTTAAGGTCCACTGTACCGTAGAGGACCACTGGATTTACACCATATCCCAATCTGAAGACATATTCCTGAACTACACTGGACCAGAATTGGTGACACTAGATCATAACTAGATTTACAATCCTAATACTTTGAGGACCAAAGGTGACTGGTTTGAAGGGGAATAGTTGTCCTCTTGAACTGGGTTCGGACCACTTGACTAAGAATTGACTCGTTTTGTGTATTGGAATATGAATCTTAAATCAGATGAACTCTGAGTGCAACTGTAACCTCATCCGCCATGTCTCTCAGTAAGACCCTTGAGTTGGAGCATTTCGATGAACGGAACAAGGTCCGCCGGGGACGCTCCACCCGACCCAAACGGGATGACTCCACCGGCAGCGGTGGGGGTTCCGGCCCCAGTTCCAGGGGCAGCAGCCTGGTTCCCAGTCCTGCCCACAGCACCAACTGCAGCTACTACAGGACCCGCACCCTGCAGGCCCTCACCTCAGAGAAGCGGGCCAAGAAGGTCCGGTTCTACCGCAATGGGGATCGGTACTTTAAGGGCCTGGTGTACGCTGTTTCTAGTGACCGGTTCCGGTCGTACGACGCGCTGCTGATGGAGCTTACTCGATCATTAGCAGACAACCTTCATCTGCCACAAGGAGTTCGTACGATCTACACCATAGATGGCAGCAAGAAGATTACCAGTATGGACGAACTGGTGGAAGGTAAGACTCCTTTATTTCAGGATTGGGTTTCTGATACATCAGCTAAGGCCAAGTAGGGTAAGCTGAAGGTATTCATCTGGATTTTTGCTTAGTGTGAACGATACTTAGGATGATGATGACAGTATTGGCTCATTTCAAAACCTCACAATGTTTCCATCATTGTGACGTTATAATATGACCCCTACACTTTTACAAATGTAGGGATCGTATTATAAGTCTGGACAATATGGCTGAAGAACATTTCAATCTTGATATCAGGGTTTTATATCAGTAAAATAGATGATTATTAATTTTTTTTTACTGCCAAACTGGTTATGTGTCCATCACGGTTTGTTCCAGTTTCCTCTCAAGCGCCGTTGTTTTTTATTTTTATGCAGTTTTGAGGCGCGGTGACAAAACCTGAAACCAGTGTTGCGCAAGTTATTTAACAGGTAGTTGCTAGGTAACCAAAGAGTGAGTGGGTTGCTAGGTAACCAAAGAGTGAGTGGGTTGCTAGGTAACCAAAGAGTGAAAGCCTTTTCTCTGCCTACATCCCCCAGAATGCTGTGCGGTTCTGGTTCAGTGAAATTATTGAACGTTGTGTCGGACGTATTATCTATTGATATTGATCACATGCCTATCGAGATGGCAGACACATAGTACATTGTGCAGAAGTAAAACTGGTTTTACTTACCAGTTTTTAGCTCCAACAAGAATATAGAGATTATAAATTAGTCTTACATCATTTAAATGTTTTAAAATAACTCTTATTCCAAATGTAACGTATCATAACCACTAAATTTGATAATATCACCCAGCAGATTTCTTAGTAAGTGCAGCCTTGGGCAACATGGTGCAACATGTGTTATTGATGGCTGGGAGCAACATCTCTGGTGCTCTGACTGATGAACTGAGACGTCAGTCTGAGTAACAGAGTCTGGCTGGACCTGCAGCTTTTCAACAGCCTCAGTGAAAACTTACCAATATAAATGGTAAAGTTAGAGTCCTTTGTTTGCACCAGTATAAGAACAGAGCTTTCAAAGATTTTTAAAAATGTTTTTTCAAACAGACTTTGTAAGAACCAAACCAAAAGTTAAGCTCCAGATTTCAGTCAGTTCTGTTTGTGTGCTGAACATCCGCAGGGAATCTTAAAGATGGCAGGAATGTTGATTGTTAGCATTTTTGTGTGATTTAAATCACTGAACTGGATAATTTTTAATTGCATTTACTAATATTTTTAACTTACTGATATTTGATGATGCTCTCATGGAGCAAACAGTTAAGAAAATAGTAAAACTAACATTTCAGTGATTGAAATTTATCAGGCTAAATAAATGTAAATCTAAATTCTTACCATAATAAAATCTTTCACAATAAATGAATGATACGATAAATGGCCACTCCTGCTACGTTGTTCAAAAAGAAATGTGCAACTGGTCGTGTAAAGTACAAGATATTTGTGATTAAAACAGTAACATAATGGAAAGCAGCTGGATTTAACTCTTATTTAGTTTGTTAAGGTCTGACTAATCGTAAGAGGAAGGATCTGTGATAACGCGACTTTGTGCACCGAGGATATACTAAATGTATGGAAAGAAGCTCTAGTTCAGAAACAACTTTTATAATGAGCTTTATCTCTTAAAAAACAACAAAAATCAGACTCTAATACAAACTATGAGAATAACCAATGTACTTTTAGATTTTACAGTACTTTGAGAATCTAAACAATCGGTACTTCTGAAGGTTAAATCTTTTTAAATAATGACCTGAGATCTTGAACTATTTTCTTCATTATTATAATTTATTGCAAACAGCTGAAACATGTCAAACATTTTCTCCTTTGTGGCCAAATAACTATCCATAATATCGATTGATAACATCAAGCCTTCATTCTGTCATCCTGCTCTTTACCTGCGTTTGTTATGCAAACACTTGAATTATTATCTCTGTGTACATCAAGGGAGGAAGAAGTATTTCCTAATCAATACAGAAAGTCTCAAGGGAGCTCAGACACTAATATTCAGACCTCAACTCGGCTGGCTTAAATTTCCACATTGAATTCAAAATATTTTAGAAACTTCTTTGTCAAAACTGAAATATAAACAAAATGTTGAAACTGTAAAGACGATAAAAAGCCTCCATACCCAGATATAAATAATATATCTGGGTAATTTTACCAATGTCTCCAATGTCAGCAGCAGCAGCAGCAGCTTAGTATCAGCAGTTTATCATCAATATTGATGCTGGACTGGTTGTAAGCTCTTCTAATGAACATTAGTGGGCAGGAAGCCGTTCAGCCGGAGATGCTCTAAAAGACAGAGGCATCACTCTGAGCACTTAACACACAGAATGGACTGTGACGGATTTAATCCGAGTGTCCAAAGTGGGAAATGCATCATTTACAACTTCTGTCTGGAAACACATGAAGGCATTCTGTTGATTAATTGGCTGCTTTCCACCCAGCATGTTTCTGGTGGAGTTAATCAGTGAAAAGCTCTAAGAAGCAGCATTACTGAGAAGAAAAAGGGAAAATGGCAGCAAAAGTTAAGGGTGTTTTCACACCTGAAAGTCCAGTAGATTCGGTTTGATTTGATTTGTTACATTTTCAGCTGCTGTGGTTCACACTGTGTCAATCGAACCAAACATTTGGAAAACCCGTTCCCCTCCTCGCCTGTGGAGGCGCTGCAACAAGAAATGACACGAAAACTACTGAAGACCTTTTTCATGAAATGAAAACTAAAACGCAGTGGCGTCAGACTTTAGCGATTGTAGGATTTCTGTTTTGTCAAAAACAGTGACCCATTTCTTCTGTTAGTGCCAAGCTGCCTCGTCTGCTTTGGTTTACCCAGCATGCCCTGCACTGCAGGCTCCTTCTGCTCTTTGAGCGCTCTCTGGTTTGCTTAAATATTTCACTTTTCTATACATGTGCACCAGAGTTCACTTTAACCAAACTGACACAGAGGCTTTTAGATTTACCAGACTTCACATTTTTGGTCCAAACGAATCAAACTTTCTAGGCTAACGAACTAAAGTTTGATTAAAACGGATTAACAGGGTTGGTGTGAACGCAGCCTGAATGTTTGGGCTCCCATCCAGTGTTTTTGTAAAGCCAGAATGAAACCGGGGTGTTCTGGTGGCCCGGCTGAATCGGCCCGGAGTGTTTTTGCGTTTAGTCACTGAGGTATTTGTATAACAACCCAGAGCGACTCTGTCCAGCTCATTTGAATCGCAGAGTGAAAGTCGGCACATGGAGAGACAAGGTCACTGAACAAAGCCTGGAGAGACGGAGGCAGAGGAGGGAAGGTGCGTCTGTGACGTCTGGAGGCAGAAATATGACGGATAAAGAGATGCAGCGATGATGAGGAGGCAGATAAACCTGTATTAGTCTTTTGTGTTGGTTATTGTTAAACGTCCTTTATGGTAACTGTTGACTTTGGTTGAGGGAAAGACAAGTTTTATGTTCCTAAAGGGACATTTTTGCTGTTGGTCCTGCTAAATTAAATATTTCCCCCCAGCCGCTGTTGGTCTCTATATCCATCATTTCTCCCTACAAACTCAAAAAGTCTTTAAATCTCTGATGTAGTTTGCAGTTTTTCCTCATCTGTCGTCATTCAGACATTTTTATTGTTTGCACAGTTTTATTGTCACTTTTTCTTTTTAAATAGCTGCACATTTTAAATGCACATTTGGTCACTTTTATAAATAATTTCACTCAGTTGCACATTTCTTTGGATCGGAGTATTTTGTTTTAATAACTGCAGATTATGTCAGGTTGTAATTTAGCTGTTTCTGTTCAGTGTGATATTCTTCATATTTAATATTTTTGTGTTTGTGTAGATCTATCTTGCTCTGTTAATGTCCCACCAAGGGACAAAGAATGGATTTCTATTTAATTCTGGTAGATTTTAAACTATAAAATCTACATGACATTATTGAAAAAGTTTTTTAAAAACTCAGGAATATCTACTACAGGGAAATGTTTTCTATTTTCTGGTTTCAGAATGAAAGAAAAAACAAAATGGTTTTAAAAAGAATAAATGTATTTTCTTGAATGTATTTTGAAAACAAACAAGAAGACAGTTTGTAATGTAAGAAAAATATATAAGTTTCACACATTCTTATAGATTATAGATTGTTATAAATATTTTAAAATAAAAGCTTAAAAACTTTTAAAAATAATTTTTTTGCAGTATGAGGGATTAAGCAGAAAATATAGGTGCTTTGAATCCATCTAACAGCGATTTGAAGCTGTTTGTTGATCATTTTCAGCTTGAATATTTTCAGCTTTAATATTTGCTCTGAAAGCAGATATTTTGAACGGTTGCTCGCGGTACGGTGGTTAACGTTGACGCCGTTTGGCCGACCAAGCGCTTCATGTCGCTGCGTCTGATTGCTGCTCTCAGGCTGTTATCTGTACCCTGCTATTAATCGGCCAGTTAAATCCTGAACTCAGTGACTCTGAAAGCAGAAGCAACGGCTCCGTTACAGGAGAATGTCTGCAGGACAATGGTGATAAAACACTTTATTATAATTATCTAGCTGGATTCATAATGTTAGTTTCTGTCTTTCTGCTGGGATCTTGAACGTGACTCGATGACTGATGTCAGAGCAGAAGAGTTGATCTGACTGCTGTCAAACTCACCGTCTTCAATCACTGCCTCGTATTTCAACATGTCCTCTGATCTGTTCCCTATATGTCATTGATTAATGAGTTAATCTAAAATTGATTAATTGATCATTTTCTTAAAAACTTGAGTTTATCAAAAGGGCCAACCATCCTTCCATAGGATAAAGTCCTACATTTTTAAAATATGTTGAATTTTAACTGTATGTTTTGGCAGCTGTATTAAATACAGACAGAAAATTGTTTCCCACGTTAGTAAACTTAGACATTTTCATAAATTATAATAAATTATCAACCTGTTTGGTTGCAGAGTATAAAAATAAAATATGTGAAACGGTTAATTCCTTATTAACAGGCGAATATTTATACAGAAGTGCTGCCTCCAGTCACTGTAGCTTATTGGCTTCCTGTTTTTTTTTCTATAATTTTAATCTGAAAGTTTCTAAAAACCCAAGAAAATTTATGAGTTCAAAAAGTTGAAAATTTGTTGGAAAAAAAAAGAAAAAATTTTAAGATTTCTGAAGTTTTGAGTTTCAAATTTGAAACATTTTGAACATTTGATATTCAAAATTTTTTCTAGAAAATTTCTGAGGTTAATTTCAAAATTTCTGATTTGTTTTGGCTTGAATG